ATCACCATCACCATCACCACCATCATCATCATCATCATCATCACCATCACCATCACCATCACCACCATCATCATCATCATCATCATTAACATACCACCCCCATCACCATCATCATCACCATCATCACATCATCAATCCATCCACCATCATCATCACCACACCACCCTGTCCATCCTCATCAACAGCAGATGTTCATCCCCCTATCCTCCTCCTCACTCACCCAGCCAGTCGATGTCATCCCCCTCATCCTCACTCCTCACTCACCAGCAGCATGCTCATCCCCCCTCATCCTCCGTCCTCATCACCACAGCAGCATGTCATCCCTATCCTCCTCCTCACTCACCAGCAGCATGTCATCCCCTCATCCCTCCTCCTCACCTCATCCCAGCAGCATGTCAACTCCCTCATCCTCCTCCTCACTCACCCAGCATGTCATCCCCCTCACCTCCTCCCTCACTCACCCAGCAGCATGTCATCTCCCTCATCCCTCCTCCTCACTCACCCCCAGCAGCATGTCATCCCCCTCATCCTCCTCACTCACCCAGCAGCATGCTCATCCCCTCATCCTCCTACCTCCACTCACGAGCCAGACATGTCATCTCCCTCGATCCTCTACCTCACTCATCCAGCCCAGCAAGTCATCCCACTCATCCTACCTCCTCACTCACCCAGCAGCATAGCTCATCCCCTCATTCCTGCCTGCCTCACTCACCAGCGCATTCATCCCCTGCATCCTCCTCCTCTTACTCACCCAGCAGCCATGTTCATCCTCCTCATCCTCTCCTCACTCACCCAGCAGCATGTCATCCCCCTCATCCTCCTCCTCACTCACCCAGCAGCATGTCATCTCCCTCATCCTCCTCCTCACTCACCCAGCAGCATGTCATCCCCCTCATCCTCCTCCTCACTCACCCAGCAGCAGTGTCATCTGCCTCATCTCCGTCCTTGGTGCCGCGCGGAAGCTACTTGGCGCGGAGAAGCCCAGATTGAAGTCTGATAGCCATCAAACGCGTATTCGCAGGCCTCTCCTCCGATTCGAGCGCGCCTGCTGGACAAAACAATACAGACAGCTCACAACGACTGCACACACACACGCACGAACAACCGCCGACCGCACACACCCAACACACACACACCACCAACAACACACATCCTGCCACGCACAGCACCACGCACGCACGCCACGCACGCACGACTCACGCACGCACGCCGCACGCACACACACACACACACACAACACACACACACCTACACGCACACAAACACACTATCACCTACACACGCCACGCCACACGCACGCACGTCACGCACGCACGCACGCACGCACACACACCACACACACACCGCGCACCTAACCGACATTTCAACGATAAAAGTAAAATATTATGAGTTGTACCGTATAAGGTTTTACCAGTATGACGCTATACCCATTAAAGTCAACTAATCCGAGAGTGTCACCGAAGATGCGAGATAGTCTGCCGTAATTCTATATGCTGATAACCTTCTATGTACGGTGTCAGTGCTGTGAATAGCAAGCAGCCCGTTTAATATAACCGTCAGCAATGTTATGCTCGTTCCAATGTATTGCATACTTTCTCTATTATTTCCAACCGTTTCTTGTTATGAGTACTAGCACTGCCCCCCACAACAACCCAATCTCTCACGAAAATATACAGACGGCGTATGCATATTCCACAATTTTCACACTTTATGCCGTTTTAACTCAAATCAATGTTTATTTCATCATCATCATTATTTTTATTCTATATAATTATATTATAATTATCATTATCGATTTAATCTTCATTTATTCAATTTACTTAATGTATCACACACTTCCTATCCCAATCACAAGGGTACGCGGATGCTGCTTTACAAACTCTTACAACACCATTTCCCCTTTTCTGCCCCTTCCCTTCCCCCCTTCTCTTCTAATCCTTTTCACGATCCTTCCCTTCTCTTCTTCCCGTTCTTCTCTTCTATTCCTAGCCCCTCCTTCCCTCCCTGGTACTTTCACTTTAATTCCCTTCCCTTCCCTGCATATTCTCCCTGACTCTCCTACCTTCGCTCAGCCCTGACGTCGCGGCCGTCTAATGGCGCCTGCCTGCTGATGAGGAGTTTACTAGCATCCACTGCAGGTTTAATGTGAGCGGCGCGCCAGCGGCAGCGGCGAGGCGGCGGGGCGCCACGCGGGCGGTCGCACGGCGGACAGCGGCCGGCCATTGCCTGGGAGATTGAGAGATGGCCCTGCGGAGCATGAAGCAGGAATTGCCGTGGCACATGAGCAAGAGATTGCCTGGGGAGCATCACGAGATGCTTCGGGAGCATGCCAGGATATCTGGAGCCATGAGAGATTTGCCTGGATCTGAGCAGGCATTCCTGGGAGCTATGCAGCCTAGCGATTGCCTGGAGCAAGGAGAGATGCTGGGAGCCCATGAGAATCAGGATTCTTTCGGAGCATGATGAGATTGCCTGTCGGAGGCCATGACGAGACTTGCAACTGAGAGCCATGCATGCAGGATTCCCTGGCGAGCATGAGCAGGATTGCATGGAGCATAAGAGAGCGCATGCCAGGAGCATGCAGAGGCATTAGCCTTAGTCGGCACCATGCACCAGAGCCAGGGCGCTCTGAGGGAGAAGGTCGCTCCAGGCACAGGGCTGACAGCAGCAGGGCGGGCAGGGAGGTGGAGGTTGGGGAGGCGCAGGAGCGGCGGCGGCGGAGGGCAAATGCGAAGGGCGGGGCGGGTACGCGCCGACACTGACACCGTCGTACAGCGGGATAAGTATGCTGACGTGACGGCGAGAGGTGAGTAGTGAGGAGAGGAAGAAAGGGAGGAGGAAACAGAGCAGAAGAGACTGAGAGAGAGAAGGCGCGGAATAAGAGAGGTGGGAAGGAGAGCGAAGAGAGAGAGAGGAGAGAAGAAGGCGACAGACGTGTGGAGGAGAGGGCAGAGGTCGAGAGGGGAGGGAGCAGGGGGCAGAGAGATAGCAAAGAGAGAAAGATAGCTAAGCGAAAGACGTTAAAGCAAGATAAGACAGACAGCAAACTGCCAGAGCAAGATAGAGAAAGCAGAGAGAGAAGGGGAGAGACGAAATGGAGAGGAGAAGAGAAGACTTAGAATACTTTTCGCTATTCGAACAGAAAGAGAAGGAGGGGAGAGAGCGACTGAGGAGAGCAAGAGAAAGAGAGAAAGAGTAGAAGAGAGAATCTCTAGTATGAAAGGGCAATGAGAAGTATAGCATAAGGAGGACGAGGAAGGGAGGGTACAATAAAATAAGGAGGAGGAAGAGGAGGAGAAGGTGGGATGGAGGGGCACAGGAGGAGGTAGTGAGAGAGGTGCATGAGAGAAGGATAGGTGTATGGCGAGGGGGGCAGGAGGAGGTAGTGAGAGAGGTGCATGAGAGAAGGAGAGGTGCATGGGAGAAGGATAGGTGTATGGCGAGGGGGTGGGTCAGACTATGTAATGATACAACGACTGTGACACACATGACAGCGACGTTGAGGGAACGACGTAACAACGCAGGTGCTGCCGTGACAACACAGGTGCTGCCGTGACAACGCAGGTGCTGCCGTGACGACGAGGGAGGCAAACAAAAGCGCAGAAGCAGTGGTGCCACCTACCATTCCTGCGCACAAACAATGCACGCCTGTGCGGCGGTGATCCAGGGGGCTTGGTGGGCGGCTGCGCAGGGGGAGGGCACCCAGGTGTGTTGAACCCCTCCCATAACTCCTACTGTAGGGTGCTGCCACCTCATGCACACTCTACATACCTACTCACTAATAGCATGCACTAGAAGCTGGTAAACCAAGCTTCTTGCTATTGTGGCAAAAGTCCAATAAACCACGGTACGATTTCAAAAACTGAACAGAGACAAATTTTGTTACTGCTAGTTATCACACTGACCACTAGGCGACGCCACCTACGGCCGTGTTTAGTTATTTTACATTTTCCAGTTTTTAACGCTGTAAGGCAGCTCATTTTTTACTAATGCATAATTTTCGCTAATATAAACGCGAATTTCTCTATTCTCACGGACAATTTACTGATTAAACGATCCTTAACGAGCGCGCCTTCGAGTAAAGAGCAGGAAGCGGCCTCGAATATTCGCAAACCCCACGAATAACGGGCCGTTTTACAAACACTAATGACCAAATTATATCACAATTACTCGGTCTATTGGACTTTCGCAGCGTCCCCTAGAACGCTGAGCCACATGTCTACATAGCTAACTAGCTAGCTAGTTAGTTAGTTAGTTAGATGTTAGCACAGTAACAGGCTGCTGCTGTAGTCTGCTGCCCGGTGTAGCGCCCTCTGGTGGCACGCCGGCGCGGGGGAGGGGGCGGGAGCGGTACCTTGGCAAAGTTCAGGTTCTTCTGCATGTGAGCCTCGAGCAGCGTGGCCGAGGCCAGCAGGTGGGGCTTCGTGTGGCCCCACATGTGCGGGAACCACCAGAAGTCGTCCTTCAGCTCTGCAACACAGAACGCGCGGCGCGACACCATGATGCTCACGTACGCGCACGCGTGCGAGCGAGACAGAAAGCACAGAGAGTGCCTCGCTAACTCATGCACGCGCACGCAATGCCTGAAGACCATGGCCGGGGGCGGGGCGGGGGTACCAANCGCACGCACGCACGCACACACACACACACACACACACACACCTACACGCACACAAACACACTATCACACACACGCACGCACGCACGCACGCACGCACGCACGCACGCACGCACACACACACACACACACACACACGCGCACCTACACGCACATTCATACGATAAAAGTAAATATTATGAGTTGTACCGTATAAGGTTTACCAGTAGTGGACGCTTTACCCCATCTAAAGTCAACCTAACCGAAGTGTCCACGAAGATTGCGAGATAGGTCTGCGTAATTCTATGATGCTGATAACCTTCTATGTACGTGTTCAGTGCTGTGATAGCAAGGCGCGTTTTATAAACGTCAGCAATGTTTGTCGTTCCAATGTATTGCATACTTTCTCGATTATTTCACACCGTTTCCTTTGTTATGAGTACCTGCCACTGCACAACAACCCAAGTCTCCACGAAAATTACAAGACGGCGTTGCAATATTCCACAATTTTTCACATTTATGCCGTTTTAACGAAATCAATGTTTATTTCATCATCATATTATTTTATTTCATTATATAATTATTATTATAATTATTATTATCGTTTATTTCATTTATTCAATTTACTTAATGTATCACACACTTCCTATCTCACTCACAGAGGTAGCGGATGTGCTTTACAACTCTACAACACATGCCCCTTTTCTGCCCTTCCCTTTCCCTCCCTTCTCTTCTAATCCTTTTCACGTCCTTCCCTTCTCTTTCCCCGTTCTTCTCTTCTATTCCTTGCCCCTTCCTTCCCTCCCCTGTCCTTTCACTTTATTTCCCTTCCCCTTCCCTGCATCTTCCCCTGACTCTCCTACCCTTCGCTCTAAGTGCCGTCGGGCGGGTTTAATGGCCCTGCCTGCTGTGAGTGAGTTTACTAGCATCGCCTGCAGGGTTTTATGTGAGGCGGCGGCAGGCGGCAGGCGGCAGGCGGCGGGCGGCGTCGACGGCGACAGGCGGGGCGGCGATTGCCTGGGAGCATGAGGGGATTGCCTGGGAGCATGAGGGGATTGCCTGGGAGCATGAGGG